AAGCATTGCAGGTGATCAGCACAGCTGCTGCGGCCACAGGAAAAGCTTCCAAGAGCCCAACCCCAGCCCCAGTCAAAGCGCAGCACAGCAAGAATGCCACGAAGATACGCAGGCGCAAAGCCATGATGCGATTCAGCGAGTCCACCTTGATAGAAGAGAACTGAAGCCCACAAATTGGCTTGAGACCCGGTTTGAGCAGCGAGGTTCAATAAGCCAGCAATCAGCAAGTCAAAAGAAACTGGCCAAGGTCACACCCAAACAAACGTTGCAAACACCTCAACATTTCCCCCGCACATCCATTTTACCATGACTCAATGAGTTTACTTATGTTGAGCCAACCTCACCTGTCCATTGATCTCAGAAGCCTTGCCTCGCTTGCTTGGCGACAGGTTCTTGGCAAAGTCCTGCCCAGGACTTAAACATCTTCAAATGCGCTCTCGGAACACATTTTGCAGAACTGAAACATTAGTCTTAAATAAGTATCATGATGATTTTCATCTTTACTAATCGTGATCTTTGAAGTAGATGATTTCATGCGTTTTGTGGTGGCGTCATGGTGATGTTGGATGATGTTGGGGGGTCCTTGGTGTCCAGCCAACCAGCTCATTGACTCATCAAACGACTCGTGTAGACACTCGGTCTCCTGTAACGGGCAGCTCCACCACTGGATGACTAGTTGGGAAGCCGGTGCTGGATGACTCATCGCAATCGGGGCATCAACCAGCTATCATGAGGATATACATTATTAGCATCAACAGCTTTGACACATTTGAAAACTACCACCAGGCTTGAACTATGTTGAAACTAACTCAAGTCGTTGTGTTATGTTGAGAAACGGGATTTGATGATTGGGCAGAGTGGAATTCTTGCCTGAATTTTTCATGCCTGAATCTTTCAAACATTTAATCTGCTCTAGGATTCGGGTCTCCACAGTAGCATGTCGAATGGCTCTCCATGACATGCCAAACCCCCACCTCGTCGATCAAGAAAATTGCCTAGCGGCCTAGCGCGGGAAATGAAAAGCCAAACGGGGGATACACACCGGGTTTCGAGGAGATTTCCTTCCCGTTCTTATCGATTGCAACTTTGAAGAATAAAAATGTTGTACATATATATATATTATATATATATATCAAGAAACAAAAACATCAGCGATGGCACCCCCTACATGCAACGAAATCAAATGCGCCGCTTTCATGCTACATATGGGAATCCGTCTAGGTGAAAAGCAATGGTGCAAGACATGGCAGAAATGGCAAATGCTGCTCAATCCAAATGAACATCATTTCCATTGAAAGTGGCAATCCACAATCTTCCATTTTTTCGAGCTAGCTCAAAACATGTAGCTGGCTCAATTTCATCAGGGGTATGTCTTTTACAGTCACCTTGTGCTTTTTCAGAGGTACCATATCTAGTACTAAACTAATCAGTGGGGACACAACCTGGCAATTTAACAGATTGGGAAGTTTCTGCGAGCTCGCTCAAGTGCAACGAGCTGGCTCAGCGACATCGCTCTAGCTCAAACACATCGCTCTAGCTCAGAGACATCGAGCTAGCTCAATGGCATCGAGCTGGCTCAATTTTTTCAACGAAAAAAAGAAAAAAAAGGAAAAAAAAACTCGAAAAAATTGAGCCAGCTACGTCACGTTGAGCTGGCGAACGGATGTGAGAGCATCAAAACGAATACTTACTATGTATTGGCCGGGTTGATGACGGGACATCGAGCTGGCTCAAGGGCATGTAGCTGGCTCAATTTGTTCAATGTGTTTTTTTTTCCCCACCTGCCAGGTGAGGGTTGTTAGATTTTATGTCAGTTGCCTCCTCCTGCCTCGTCCTCCTCGTCCTCCTCGTCCTCCTTGTCATCCTTGTCGTCCTCGTCCAACTGCGACCCGCGATCAACAGTGTTCTCTGTCTGTTCCCTGCCGGACCTCAACCACGACCATCCACGCCCAGTGTTCCCTGCCGGACCTCAACCGCGACTTCCAGATCGCAGTGGGCACTGCCGGACCTCAACGGCAAGAATGTCAAAAAAGATGTCAGATAGAATGTCAGAAGATATGTCAGAAAGAATGTCAGAAGAAATGCCAGACAGAATGTCAGAAGATATGCCAGAAAGAATGTCAGAAGATATGCCAGTAGTTCCCTGCCAGACCAGATATGCCAATGCCGCGATGCCAGATTGCCAGATCGCCAGAAAGATATGCCAGAAGAAATGCCAGAAGATATGCCAGATAGAATGCCCGGACCTCAATGCCGGCATGCCAGAAATGTGCCAAAAAAGATAGTCAGATAGAATGTCAGAAGATATGTCAGAAAGAATGTCAGAAGAAATGCCAGACAGAATGTCAGAAGATATGCCAGAAAGAATGTCAGAAGATATGCCAGATAGAATGTCAGAAGATATGCCAGATAAAATGCCATGAGATATGCCAGATAGAATGCCAGAAGATATGCCAGAAGAAATGCCAGAAGATATGCCAGATAGAATGCCAGAAGATATGTCAGAATATATGCCAGAAAGATATGCCAGAAGAAATGCCAGAAGATATGCCAGATAGAATGCCAGAAGATATGTCAGATAGAATGCCAGAAGATATGCCAGATAGAATGCCAGAAGATTTGCCAGATAGAATGCCAGAAGATAGAATGCCAGAAGATATGCTAGATAGAATGCCAAATAGAATGTCAGAAGATATGTCAGATAGAATGCCAGAAGATTTGCCAGTAAGAAAATGTATAAATGTCATGGTGGGGATCACACGAAGTAAAGTAATTTTTCGTTTTTTCCCCCACCTGCCAGGTGAGTGTTGTTAGATTTTATGTCAGTTGCCTGGTCCTCCTCCTCGTCCTCCTCCTCCTCCTCCTCTCGTTGTCCTCCTCCTCCTCCTGCTCAACTGCGACTCGCGATCCACAGTGTTCTCTGTCGGACCTCAACCACGACCATCCACGCCCAGTGTTCCCTGCCGGACCTGCCGGACCTCAACCACGACCATCCACGCCCAGTGTTCCCTGCCGGACCTCAACCGCGAGTATCCGGGCCCAGTGTTCCCTGCCGGACCTGAACCACGACCATCCACGCCCAGTGTTCCCTGCCGGACCTCAACCACGACCATCCCCGCCCAGTGTTCCCTGCCGGACCTCAACCACGACCATCCACGCCCAGTGTTCCCTGCCGGACCTCAACCGCGAGTATCCACGCCAAGTGTTCCCTGCCGGACCTCAACGGCCAGAGAGAATGCCAGAAGATATGCCAGATGGAATGTCAGATAGAATGCCAGAAGATATGCTAGAAGATATGCCAGATAGAATGTCAGATAGAATGCCAGAAGATATGCCAGATAGAATGCCAGAAGGTATGCCAGATAGAATGCCAGATAAAATGTCAGATAGAATGCCAGAAGATATGCCAGATAAAGTGCCAGAATGTTTGCCAGATAGAATGCCAGAAGATTTGCCAGATAATATGCCAGAAGATATGCCAGATAGAATGCCAGATAGATTGCCGGAAGATATGCCAGAACATATGCCAGGTAGAATGCCAGAAGATATGCCAGATAGAATGCCAGATAGAATGCCAGAAAGTATGCCAGATAAAGTGCCAGAATGTTTGCCAGATAGAATGCCAGAAGATTTGCCAAATAACATGCCAGAAGATATGCCAGATAGAATGCCAAAAGATATGCCAGAAGATATGCCAGGTAAAATGCCAGAAGGTATGATAGATAGAATGCCAGAAGGTATGCCAGATAGAATGCCAGATCAAATGTCAGATAGAATGCCAGAAGATTTGCCAGTAACAAAATGTATAAATGTCATGGTGGGGATCACACGAAGTAAAGTAATTTTTTTCGTTGAAAAAATTGAGCCAGCTACGAGGCGCTGAGCCAGCTGCAGCCAGCTACGAGGCGCTGAGCCAGCTACGAGGCGCTGAGCCAGCTACGAGGCGCTGAGCCAGCTACGTGTCACTGAGCCAGCAAGGTAGCTTTGAGCTAGCAGCTAGCAAGGAGGCAGTGAGCCAGCAAGGTAGCTTTGAGCTTCATCAAACATATATTTATATATACCTATGCAATCCCAACCATATAATATACTAAATCTAGGGCAAAACATGTTTTTTTGAGGGAGACACGTACCTTTGAGCTGGAGCGGGAATGTGAAAAGTAACATTCGATTCCAAACATCCGAAGGCATGAAATGTTTTTCTTGAACGACTGAAAGCATTGATTAGTCTTTTCGTCAAAACTAAAGTACGCGCTGCTTTCCTCAAATCTTATGTTCATTAAGCCTTCATACGGTATGGTTGTTTTTTTAACAAATGTCAAAAGTCAAAGCTCCCATTTCGATTCTTTTACATGTTTTAATTCTGCCTGCCATCCCATAGTTGTAATTATAGGCCATGGAAGCCGGCAATACCAAATAAATATATATGATGTGTTTACAAACATGAGAACTGAAAAAATCACACAAAGACATACAGGTTCGTTCTTCTGACCCATCGACCCTGCATGTGGCCCGCCTTCGCCACCCACCTAAAAGGGTCACAGGTTCGAACTCACGCAGGTCCAGACCTCAGCGAAGCGAGCCGGAAAAAAAAACTCCGAGTAGCAAGGAAACGCGGGTAACTCTTAAGGAGATGGGGTTCCGTGGTGATGGGTCAAGTCGGTCCGAATGTCAAAATGAATGTCAAAATGTAAGCCAACATCCAATGTTGCTGATGTCCATCGGTGCAGTTTTAGTCCTGTTGGTTTTGACCCACATCCGTGCCAGGCGGATTCTAAATCTGGAACTGCTCCCACAGTTCAACTGGCGCATCCCACAAATTGCAATCTGAGCCAGAGGACGACATTCGAATGCGCCACACCTGCACAGCGAGGGATTGAATAGCTCACAGATTGCCGACCACACATGCAAAGTGCAGCAGAGTTGTTCTGTGTCCACAGCAATTCGCAGAGGCTTCTTGGAATGCATGAAACTTCCAGGTCAGAGCAACAAAGCCATTTCTTGCGGTACATGCCCAACTGCCCAACTGCCACTGAGGCTGGTTGCGGGTTCGCACTTAGAAATTAGGCACTCAGCTTGCTAAATGAAACAAAACTGAATGCCATATAGTTTTTTTTTTAAGAAGTGAGACATAGTCAGCCTGCCCCTTGCAGTCTGATTCTGTCACTACACGTCACTGATACTTGAGCTTGGTGACAGGCAAAGCTGTGCCAAGCGCACAGGTAGCTCTGCATCTTAGTATCGTCAAATGCCAAAGCCAGCATCAGGCCGCGTCACTACAAAATCTCTTCCTCTTCCAGCTCTGATACTTGAGCTTGATGACAGGCAAAGCTGTGCCAAGCGCACAGGTAGCTCTGCATCTTAGTATGGTCTCATGCCAAAGCCAGCATCAGGCCGCGTCGCTACAAATCTCTTCCTGAGCTCTGATGCTTGAGCTTGATGACAGGCAAAGCTGTGCCAAGCGCACAGGTAGCTCTGCATCTTAGTATGGTCTCATGCCAAAGCCAGCATCAGGCCGCGTCGCTACAAATCTCTTCCTGAGCTCTGATACTTGAGCTTGATGACTGGCAAAGCTGTGCCAAGCGCGCAGGTAGCTCTGCATCTTAGCATGGTCTCATGCCAAAGCCAGCATCAGGCCGCTCTGCGGCGATCTTTGGGCTTCTCCTCATTGTATGTGCTGAGCATGGATGAGCATGGCATCATATGGCATCCATGAGTTTCTTGTACTTCGGGACATAGCCTGGTTTCTTCTCCTTGGCAATCTCCTTGAAGAGGCAAAAGGCCGTGGGGACGTCGCAGTTGCAAAGCTCCAAGTAGTAGCCATCGGGGTCACGCACAATGATCTTCCCTTCACTGTTCTTAAAAGCTTCCACCAAGTTCTCTCCCTTCTGAGGATCAGATGGAATGTTTTGCAACGGCACCTCGTATTCCAGCAACTTTTCCAAGACCTTGTGTGGCTCATTGGTGTCCGATGATTCGACAGCTGATGGGGTCTCCTTGCAGAAAAACACCAACAACATCACGAGGACCACCAAAGCATTGCTGGTGATCAGCACAGTTGTTGCGCCCACAGGAGCTTCCAAGAGCTTAACTCCTGCCCCGGTCAAAGCGCAACACACCAAGAATGCCATGCGCAAAGCCATGATGCGATTCACCCAAGTCCACACACAAAGAACTAAATAAAGCCACAACTTGGCTTGAGACCAGGGCTCTGAGCAAGATTCAATGAAGCCATCGGCAAGTTAAAAGAAGCTGGCCTACGTCATACCCCAACAAAAGTACACTGTACGTGCTGCTTCTCCAAATCCTGTGTTCATTATATCTCTAAATAAACCTGCACATGTATACTTTATGCTTGTTTATGGTTTGTTTTTATCAACATTCGCTCGCGTTTTGATTCTTTGACACATTTGAATTCTGCCTGCCTTGCCATAATTGTAGGAGCTGACATTCGCTTTGATGTGTTTCACAAAAATGAAGACTCAAAAAAAGTAAGACAAAGACACAAAAGTTCGTTCTTCTGACCCATCGACCCCGCATGTGGCTCATGCCTTCGCCACCCGAAAAGGTGACAGGTTCGAACTCAAGCAGGTCCAGACCTCAGCAATCCGGGTGGCAAGGAAACGTGCTCAGAGATGGGGTTTATTGGTGGGTCAAGTAGTCGCTCCGAGTCCCAACTGGGTCAATTAGTCGCTGGGAATGCCAAAAGTTAAACCCACAGCTGGATGACTCACAATGGGGGTATCAACCAGCAATCGGATATGAAAATTAGGCATCAACAGCTTTGAAACCATTTGAACATTACCAGTTTTACAGATCTGTTGAAACCAACTCAAGTCGTTATGATATTAGTTGAGAAACGGGATTTAATGATTGGGCGGAGTGGAATTCATGCTTGAATCTTTCAAACATTAAATCTGCTCTAGGATTCGTGTCTCCACAGTAGCATGTCGAATGGCTCTCCATGACATGCCAAACCCCCACCTCGTCGATCAGGAAAATTGCCTATCGCGGGAAATGAAAAGCCAAACGAAGAACACAAATGCTTTTTTAAGTAACAAAAACTCTAGATCCATTGTGTCATGGAAGTTGATTCGGGGGATACACACCAGGCTTCGAGGAGATTTCCTTCCCGTTCTTATCGATTGCAATTTTAAAACATAAAAAACTTGCTGTACATTAAGAAACAAAATATCAGCGATGGCACCCCCTACAAAGGAAGGACCGGCAATATTTAAGGTTGCAAGAGCAACTCATGAAGGAAACATAGCATGCAACGAAATTAATTGTGTCGCTTTCATGCTATATGAATCGGTCTAGGTGAACAGCAATCGTGCAAGACATGACAGAAATGGCAAATGCTGCTCGAAATAAATGAACATCATTTCCAAACATCCGAAGGCATGAAATGTTTTCTTGAACGACTGAAAGCATTGATTAGTTTTTCTTCGTCAAAACTAAAGTACGCGCTGCTTTCCTCAAATCTTATGTTCATTAAGCCTTCATACGGTATGGTAGATTTTTCCCCAGATAGCTGGCAAGCTATAGGGGTTCTTACTTCTCAAAGGTGGGGTCTTCGGTGGCGAACTTTTGAGCAGGGTGCTGTGCAGGGTGCTGTGCAGGTGCTGTGCAGGGTGCTGTGCAGGGTGCTGTGCAGGGTGCTGTGCAGGGTGCTGTCCAGACTGCGGTGGCGAAGTCTGGCAAAGGTGCTGTGCAGGGTGCTGTGCAGGGTGTTGTCCAGACTGCGGTGGCGAAGTCTGGCAAAGGTGCTGTGCAGGGTGCTGTGCAGGGTGCTGTGCAGGGTGCTGTCCAGACTGCTGTAGCGAAGTCTAGCAAAGGTGCTGTGCAGGCTGCTGTGCAGGGTGCTGTCCAGACTGCGGTGGCGAAGTCTGGCAAAGGTGCTGTGCAGGGTGCTGTGCAGGGTGCTGTGCAGAGTGCTGTCCAGACTGCGGTGGCGAAGTCTGGCAAGGTGCTGTGCAGGTGCTGCGGTGTAGCAGGTGCTGTGCATGGTGCTGTGCAGGGTGCTGTGCAGGGTGCTGTCCAGATGCGGTGGCGAAGTCTGGCAAAGGTGCTGTGCAGGGTGCTGTGCAGGGTGTTTTACACACTGCGGTGGTGAAGTCTGGCAAAGGTGCTGTCCAGAGCGAAGTCTGGCAAAGGTGCTGTGCAGGGTGCTGCGCAGGGTGCTGTGCAGGGCGCTGTGCAGGGTGCTGACAAAGGTGCTGTGCAGGGGGCTGTGCAGGGTGCTGTGCAGGGTGCTGTGCAGGGTGCTGTAGTAGTGCGGTGGCGAAGTCTGGCAAAGGTGCTGTGCAGGGTGCTGTGCAGGGTGCTGTCCAGACTGTGGTGGCGAAGCCTGGCAAAGGTGCTGTGCAGGGAGCTGTGAAGGGTGGTGTGAAAGGTGCTGTGCAGGGTGCTGTGCTTTGGTTCCCACGTTGGGAACCATCAGTTCCAACCTTTAGGAATTGGAAGTTCTTTGCAATGGTAACCTCTAGTTCCCAGGTTGGGAACCATGAGTTCCAACCTCTGGGAACCGGCAGTTCCTTGCAATGGTAACCCATGGTTCCCAGGTTGGGAACCAGGAGTTCCAATCTCTGGGAACCGGCAGTTCCTTGCAATGGTAACCTGTGGTTCCCACGTTGGCAACAGTGAGTTCCAACCTTTGGGAACCGGCAGTTCCTTACCATGAACCAAACGCAAACATTCCGGTACCGGTCCATTGAGCAAAACAAAGCGTTCTTTACCGGTCCATTAAGCAAAACCATAAAATTGTAAAGAAACTGTTTTCATATCATTTTAACATGCACCTTTTTCCTGCAAAACATTTTTATGCCGGCCCAACAGCCAAACGCAAACATTCCGCTACCGATCCATTAAGCAAAACAAAAGGTTCTGTTACCGGCTCAGTAAACAAAACAAAACAACATTAAGAACCATGAGTTCTAACTTTTTGCAATCAACAGATCCTTCCACTGGTAACGTTACTTTTTCAGGCTTGGAACCATGAGTTTCAAGCTTTGGAAACCCGCAGTTCCTTACAATGAAAGCCGCTTAGCTCGAAAACATAAATTCTAACTTCTGGGAACCGGCAATTCCTTGCAATGGTAACCTCTGGTTCCCAGATTGGGAACCGTAAGTTTCAAGGTCTGGGAACCGGCAGTTCCTTGCCATGGTAACCTTTGGTTCCCACGTTGGGAACCATCAGTTCCAACCTTTAGGAACTGGAAGTTCTTTGCAATGGTAGCCTATGGTTCCCAGGTTGGGAAGCATGAGTTCCAACCTCTGGGAACCGGCAGTTGCTTGCAATGGTAACCTCTGGTTCCCCATGACTTCTAACCTGTGGGAACCGTAACCTGTGGTTCCCACGTTGGCAACAGTGAGTTCCAACCTTTGGGACCCGGCAGTTCCTTGCCATGAACCAAACGCAAACATTCTGGTACCGGTCCATTAAGCAAAACAAAGCGTTCTTTACCGGTCCATTAAGCAAAACAAAAGGTTCCGTTACCGGCTCAGTAAACAAAACAAAACAACATTAAGAACCATGAAATTCCAACTTTTTGGAATCAACAGATCCTTCCACTGGTAACGTATGCTTTTTCAGCTTTGGAACCATGAGTTTCAAGCTTTCGCAACCGGCAATTCCTTACAATGATAGTTGCTTATCTTCGAAAACATAAATTCTAACTTCTGGGAACCGGCAATTCCTTGCAATGGCAACCTCTGGTTCCCAGGTTGGGAACCCTAAGTTTCAAGGTCTGGGAACCGGCAGTTCTTTGCCATGGTAACCTTTGGTTCCCACGTTGGGAACCATCAGTTCCAACCTTTAGGAAACGGAAGTTCTTTGCAATGGTAGCCTATGGTTCCCAGGTTGGGAAGCATGAGTTCCAACCTCTGGGAACCGGCAGTTCCTTGCAATGGTAACCCATGGTTCCCAAGTTGGGAACCAGGAGTTCCAATCTCTGGGAACCGGCAGTTCCTTGCAATAGTAACCTGTAACCTGTGGTTCCCACGTTGGCAACCGTGAGTTCCAACCTTTGGAAACCGGCAGTTCCTTGCCATGAACCAAACGCAAACATTCCGGTACCGGTCCATTAAGCAAAACTAAAGGTTCTGTTACCGGCTCAGTAAACAAAACAAAACAACATTAAGAACCATGAGTTCTAACTTTTTGCAATCAAGAGATCCCTCCAGTGGTAACGTTACTTTTTCAGGCTTGGAACATCTTGGAACCATGAGTTTCAAGCTTTGGGAACCTGCAGTTCCTTACAATGATAGCCGCTTAGCTTCGAAAACATAAATTCTAACTTCTGGGAACCGGCAATTCCTTGCAATGGTAACCTCTGGTTCCCAGGTTGGGAACCGTAAGTTTCAAGGTCTGGGAACCGGCAGTTCCTTGCCATGGTAACCTTTGGTTCCCACGTTGGGAACCATCAGTTCCAACCTTTAGGAATTGGAAGTTCTTTGCAATGGTAACCTATGGTTCCCAGGTTGGGAAGCATGAGTTCCAACCTCTGGGAACCGGCAGTTGCTTGCAATGGTAACCTCTGGTTCCCAGGTTGGGAACCATGAGTTCCAACCTGTGGGAACCGGCAGTTCCTTGCAATGGTAACCTGTGGTTCCCATGTTGGCAACCGTGAGTTCCAACCTTTGGGAACCGGCAGTTCCTTGCCATGAACCAAACGCAAACATTCCGGTACCGGTCCATTAAGCAAAACCGAGCGTTCTTTACCGGTCCATTAAGCAAAACCATAAAGTTGTAAAAAAAATGTTTTCATATCATTTTAACATGCACCTTTTTCGTGCAAAAACATTTTTATGCCGGCCCAGCAGCCGAACGCAAACATTCCGCTACCGGTCCATTAAGAAAAACAAAAGGTTCTGTTACCGGCTCAGTAAACAAAACAAAACAACATTAAGAACCATGACGTCTAACTTTTTGCAGTCAACAGATCCTTCCACTGGTAACGTTACTTTTTCAGGCTTGGAACCATGAGTTTCAAGCTTTGGGAACCCGCAGTTCCTTACAATGATAGCCACTTAGCTTCGAAAACATAAATTCTAATTTCTGGGAACCGGCAATTCCTTGCAACAGTAACCTCTGGTTCCCAGGTTGGGAACCGTAAGTTTCAAGGTCTGGGAACCGGCAGTTCCTTGCCATGGCAACCT